CAGAAAGTCTGGTGGAGGAAGTGTCAGCCACATTTATGAAGCATGGAAACTGGCACTTGAAAAGACCAAGTGGTCTGTAGAGATGACCACCAGAATCAGGGGCAAGTAGTCTTGTCTGGAGGCTGAGGCTTTTCCATGGAACTGTGATGTCTCCCTTGAGCTTTTAGCCATAGAGAGTCTCTTACTTTGAGATTTTGGGAAGCAACATGAAATGGACAGTTCTGGCAGTTTTGGATAGTGTTTGTGTGCTAGGACCAAGTGGTCAGCCAGCCAGCTGTGTCAGAGTGTGGTTTCCAGGAGGTTCCTCTCAGCTTGGCCTGCTGCCCAGAAAAAAACCCTGTTCTTTCACATCATTCCATATTCCCTGATTTTTCTGCTATGGTCACTGTGCTGATGCTTGTGCATTGTCAAGCAGGGAACAGTGGAGATGGAAGGAGCCGATGCCAGCAGTGGTAACCTGTAGTCAGACCTGAGGTGCCCTGTATTCGGTAAACCAGAGACACTGTGTCATAACTGACCCTGCAGAAAGATGGGATTTCCCATGTCTGGAACCTGAGACTGCACCAAGGAAAAAGTGCACTGATCAACAAAGCAGCCTCTAAGGGCCACTGAACAGAGCAGTGAAAAAGTCCTGTGAGACCATTCTTCATTCCACCAGCCAAAGAGGCTCACTGGGCTCTCTCCTGTGTTCTCTACATAGCAGTTTATATTTTCAGCTTAGTTGTTAAACTTCACAAATACATACATCTGTTGAGGTGAAAGAGTAAAAATCCAGAGCATGAATTGTTTGCAGCTGGCCTAGGAAAGGGCTGTTGTCTTCAAGCCCTAATAATTGAATTCAGATTATCAAGCAAGGATCTTCCATGAAGGAGACATCCACACAGCCTCTCCCACATCCAGGACTGGAAGCTGTTGCTCGTGCTTCTGATCTCCCTTGGTCTCAACTGGAGACCCTCGCTTCCATCTTCCTCTTCACTTCGGTCCTACTTCTCCCTGCACATCCCCTTTGCTTCAGCCAGATGGGACCTCCTGCAGCTCCTGCCATGCCTCAGGTTCTGCCCTGTCTGCCCTTTTTCAAATAACCTTTGTCTTTCCACACTCCTCAGTTCCTTTCTTGGCTGCAGTCTTCCCAGGGTCTGGTGGCCTGTGTCTCTTCCTTGGCAGCCTGTCTGTTGCCTGCACGATAGACTGTGCCAGCAGACCATGTTGGCCTGCCTGTTACTGTGCAAAGCTCCAACTCAATGAGGTAGGCCATGCTTCTTGGGTTCACATCCTCCTGGCAAGTAGAATTATAGGACATTCTGAATGGATCCCAGCCATGAGGCACATGCAATGTGATGTCTTAAGAGCCCAGGCACATCTATAGCCATACCACCCTGAACACACCTGATCTCATCTAAGAGCCCAGACTATGGGACTACCGCTGTCTCAATGGCCACAGGCAAATAGTTGACCTTCCAATTTTCCCAGCTTGTCAAATAGGGATGGTGACCTGTCTCTCAGAAGATCCTGTGAGAATTAGAAGAGGAAACAAGAGGCATTACTGTGTAGGTTTAAGAGTTTGGCCTCTCTCTGAGCATGCTCCACTGCTTAACTGTGTGGTCTCTAGCACGTGCCTTATCCTCTGGGCCTCAGTTTCTTTGTCTGTATGTTGACAGCAATAACACATACCTTTGAAGGGCTGTGTAAATTCTTAGTTGATGAACAGAAGATATTTACATACATTAGGTATTTCAAGTATATCATTAGTGTTTGCAAGGGAGGAGTAGAAAATAATATTGTACAGTTCCTGTGCTCTGGGGTATAAGGGCTTCAGACTTCTTGGGCTGGCAGGCTTACTGATGACTCTGTAGAGGTCACAGCCAAAGAAATGGTTTCAAATACCCCACCCCTGAATTTCAAGGACAGGTGATATTTATCTGTAGCTTGACTTTGTGATTCTTTGTTATTACTTGATTGCCAGATATTTTTGTTCATAGAAGATAAAAGCCTGTGTTCCAAGAGATCAGAGGCAGTTACTTAGAGCAAGATCAGTGATGTGAAGAAGGAAGAAAGGAACCTTTCTAAGCTGTGAGCAGGGAGAAGAATTTGCGTGTGGTCTGAGGAATAGCATGGCTTTGTGTCCAGGACATGGGCTGTCTCTTGTGGCTCATCCCTTAGCTGCATCTGTGCTTTAAGTCTTTCTTTGTGTCTTGGCTTCTCTGCCAATCAGACCCAGATGCAGGGTCTGGATGTAGACATGTATATGCAAATGTACATTTACATGGATTTTAGGAAACACAAGGAAGTCAGAGGGATTCCCACAGAGGAGTTTGGGCTAACAAGGTCTTGCTTATGTGTAGAGTGCAGGGCTGAGTTCCAAATGAAGCACCTTGAACTCCAGAGTGAAGGGTGTCTTCCATCTGTTCATCTCTAATCCTCTCCTGCTGTCCCTGAAGGCATGTCATTAAAAGTGGCTGTGCCTTTCCTTCCCTGACACCACCTGGTCCCAGCCCCCTGGTGGGAGCAGGAGACTCCTGCTAGCCCTGCCTTCTACTCTGGTCCTGTGTCCTGTGGTCATCCACTATGTTTGCTCTAATTCAGGCTTTGCAATCCCTCTGCCCATGTTCTGATGCCCTCCAGCCCTGCACAGCCTTGCCTCCTCACTATTTGTGAACTGGGGCCTGCTCTTTGCTCTACCCTCTGCTATGCTGTCCTCCCCTGGACAACCACAAACTTGTCCATGCTCCCAGTGTCTCCAGTGCCATTTCTTCAGTGGTGAATGGCATGGGAAGCTCCTGGTAGTATGAGGGTGTTGTAGCTATCAAATCAGCAATATGTGATGTCACCTTATTTGGTGCTCATGCTGGCATTGTGTGTATGCTGCTGTTTTGTCTGTTTAGTCATGGTGCACACTGCTCAGAGAGGCAAGCTCACCCAGCCCCCTGGCTGTCCAGCTGTTGAAACTCCAACTTGGATAGAGCAGTGGACTTTAGATCTTACTCAGTGTGCTTGCATGAGTGTGTATGTCTATACTTGACTTGAGAGTCCAGCTCTTACTGCACATTTTCTACTCTGGCCTGGTTGGGTTTTTAATTGCTAGTCTCAACCACTAGGTTAAATTTAAAGACCCACTTGACAAATTACCTGTCCAGTTTTGGCTCTGCATCTGTTGCTTTCCCTGTGGCAGCATCTCAGAAATTCTTAACATGGCCAAGTCAAGGCCTATGGCATGGTAAACTGACTTTTCCTATTCAGCTCATCATGAGGAGAAGGTCTTTACACAAGCAAATGTGTGATTCTTAAGACTATCATTGGGGTGAAGAAGTCCCAGTGTCTTAACAGATAAGGCAAAGGAGGGAAGGACCTCTGCCATGCAGTCACAGATAGAGGGGCAGAAGCAAAGGGAGGCATGGTAGGCTTGGCCTCGGGCTGGTATGGTGCTGGCCTGAGGGAATCATTCCAGAGGCAGGGCCAAGCCCACGTCAGTTCCTGACCCTGGTGGGAAGTGGAAGAAGCCCTGAGAGGTGTGTGCTGTGTAGCTGGTTTCTGGCTGGTGGCACCATAAGTTCCTCTTTCTGAGCTCCTCTGAAGAGCCTGGATCTGAGAACCCACAGACTACTGGGACCTGGTGTAGTCCATCTGCAGAAGTACCTGCTCCAAGGCTGTTAGAGATTTTCTTTCTCATTCTGGTTCCATTTTGATGGCAAAATAAATAAATGTCAGAACAGGTTTTTTTGTGTGTGATTCTGATGATGAAACCCAGGGCCACATTCAAGCTGCATCAGCCATACTGCCCCTGGGCTACATCTTCAGCCCCTAACTGTTTTAAAAGGAAGGTAATATGAAAGCAAACCAGAGACATGTTTTAGACTCACAGCCCCATGGAAAGATCATCGACTGAGCGGAGCCCAGGTGTGGCCTCACACCTTGCCTCTCTATGAAGTGGCTCTGTCTTTCCAGGAGCACCTGTGGATTATTTTATAGAACATTAATCCTGTTCTTTCTGAAAATTAATGTACCTTTTCTTAATGCTTAATAGAGACACCTTCACCTCAGCCCTATGAGAGGGCAGTGTTCATCCAGCTCCACACAAGGGAACTGCACAGAGGCAGCAGGTGTGACTGGGGTGTGGCTGGCAGAGGAGTGGATGGCTCTAGCTGGGAGTAGGCACGAGGGCACATGCTGACCCACCAGGCACCCTCGGTTTGTTTTTAGATTGGAGGAGAGTTTCAGAGAAATCGCAGCTGAAATCTCTTATTTCAATTTAGAACCAGGGTAAAGTTTTCTTTGTGCTGTTGTTACAAATGTCATTTGGTGAGCTAATAGTATTCAGGAGGTTTCCAGGCAATTAGTGTAAGAAAGCAAGCACTTTCCTATTTAACACTTCCAACCTTAAACACTGGTTCAATTAGCAGATGATTTTTCTCTTTCCAAATTCTTGTGTATTTGTAAAGGTCTAACAAGACCTCTGCTTTGCAGCTCATTGCTAACATTTCGCTTAAGTACACATTGAGAATTATAGGCTTGGGGGTTTTAATAATTCTTATTTATTTTCTGAATTTCTTAAAACTAGGCATCAAATGGGTAAAGGCCCTAAATACTGAACCTTTATTTTCACATATCAAGTATCATATAGCACTTTCATATCTACTTGCAAGTTCTAGCAACCTTTGATGATATAGAAGTGCTTATTATGGTCTGTTTTTTTTTGTGTGTGTCAGCAGGAGATGGTCATCATGGTGTTAGCAATTAAACCCAGGGTCTCATACATGCAAGGCAAGAGCTCTCATTCCCAGACCCCTCTTATGGTCGTGGGTTCTGGAGATTCTTTACTTTCATGGCTGATGGTCATGTGATTTTTTGTTTGAGTAGGGTAGCTTAGAAAGCTCATGTCAGCCCAGTCTGCTGCCCACCCACCCTGACCCTGTGGACCAACAGCTGCGCCCCTGCCCTCAGAGCCCCTCCTTCCTCTGAGCTGTTTGCTGCTGTGTGATGACAGTTTTGCCTCTGTCTTTCAGATAAGCCTGTGCAATGGAGGGGCTATTGCACTATATCAACCCAGCACATGCCATCTCCCTGCTTAGTGCCCTCAATGAGGAACGCCTCAAGGGACAGTTGTGCGATGTGCTCCTGATTGTTGGGGACCAGAAGTTTCGAGCCCACAAGAATGTTTTGGCTGCCAGCAGCGAGTACTTTCAGAGTTTATTCACAAATAAGGAGAACGAGTCACAAACGGTCTTTCAGCTTGACTTCTGTGAGCCAGATACTTTCGACAATGTCCTGAACTACATTTACTCCTCCTCCCTGTTCGTGGAGAAGGGTAGCCTTGCCGCTGTGCAGGAGCTAGGGTACAGCCTGGGCATCTCTTTCCTGACCAACATTGTCTCCAAAGCTCCGCAGGCACCCTTCCCACTGTGTCCCAGCAGGAAGAGAGTATCTGCAGATGAGGATGAGGCCAGCTCTCAAAAGCGCAGCGTCATCGTGTGCCAGGGCAGGAGTGAAGCACCCGGGAAAGCTGTGGGTCTAAACCCGGCTGACCTCAGCCCTGTTTCCCGACTGTCCCCCAGCATCACAGGCAAGAGCAACACTAGCAAGGTGCATGGCCTGAAACCTGCAGAACCACTCCCCAGTCTGTCCTTGTCTGAAAAGAGCTGGCCAAAAGATGGTGCCTCAGGGTTTTCAAAGTCCCTGGAGCATCCTGTAGAGGACCCAAGTAGGAGCAGTTTGGTGAAGAGAAATGCAGCACTGCCCTCCAAGCCTCCACATGACAGAGAGGCCGTGGATGACAGGCCAGGGGGAAGCAGTCAGCTTCCAAAGGGCAAAGCTATAGAGCTGGCTTTGAAAAGGCCTCGGCCACCAGTCCTGTCCCTTCGCAGCTCCTCAGAGACACCATACTTGTTAAAGGAAACTAGTAAGGGAGGAGGTCAAGGTGAGGAGAGAAACTTGTTGTACTACTCCAAGCTGGGCTTGGTGATCCCATCCAGTGGGTCTGGTTCTGGAAACCAAAGCATTGACAGAAGCGGGCCTCTTGTGAAAAGCCTCCTCCGACGGTCCCTGTCTATGGACAGCCAAGTCCCTGTCTACTCTCCCTCCATAGACCTGAAATCCCCCCAGGGCTCGCCTGCAGCATCCAAGGACATGCCAGGCAGTGTTTTCTGTACTTTATCTCAAAAAACTTCTTTACAAGACTGCAGTGAAAGAAAAGCAGCCCTGGAAGACAGGCCTCCGGTGCTGCAGCCGCACCGCCTCAGGTCCTTTAGTGCCTCTCAGTCCACGGAGCGGGAGGGCGCCGCCCCAGTGACAGAGGTGCACATCAAGACTGAGCCCAGCAGCCCCCTGTCAGACCCCTCAGACATCATCCGAGTCACTGTGGGAGATGCAGCAGCTGCGGCTACGAGAGACTTGCCTCTGAAAACTGAGGAGGACCTGAAGGATATGAGCAGGCTTCCAGCCAAGAGGAGGTTCCAGGCAGACAGAAGGTCACCCTTTAAGAAGGCAAAGGTCAATGAGCACGGACCCCCAGCTTCAGATGAGAACTGTGAGGATGGCCTGAGCCCTCCTCCCCTTGATGGCGAGTTCCCAGATTCTGACTTGAACAAAGACGAATTTGGTGAGTTGGAGGGGACGAGACCAAACAAAAAGTTTAAATGCAAACATTGCCTTAAAATCTTTAGATCAACAGCAGGTCTTCACCGCCACGCTAACATGTACCATAACCCAGAGAAGCCCTACGCTTGTGACATCTGTCACAAGAGGTTTCATACCAACTTCAAAGTGTGGACACACTGTCAGACCCAGCACGGCATAGTGAAGAACCCGTCCCCAGCCGCGAGCTCCCACGCGGTTTTGGATGAGAAATTCCAAAGAAAGCTGATTGACATAGTGAGAGAGAGGGAGATTAAGAAGGCCCTGATCATTAAGCTGAGGCGCGGCAAGCCTGGCTTTCAGGGCCAGAGTGGCTCCCCAGCGCAGCAAGTCATCAAGAGGAACTTGCGCTCGCGAGCCAAAGGCGCATACATTTGTGCTTACTGTGGAAAAGCATACCGCTTTCTCTCTCAGTTTAAGCAGCACATAAAAATGCACCCGGGAGAAAGAGCCCTCGGAGTAAATAAAGTTGCTAAGCCAAAAGAGCATGCTCCTCTGGCCAGCGCGGCAGAGAGCAAGGAGCTTTACCCGTGCCGCCTCTGTAATGCTAAGCTCTCTTCTCTTCTAGAACAAGGCAGCCACGAGCGCTTATGCCGGAACGCCACGGTTTGCCCTTACTGCAGCCTCAGGTTCTTCTCGCCCGCCCTGAAGCAGGAGCACGAGGACAGGTGTGAGTACAAGAAGCTGACCTGTCTGGAGTGCATGCGCACCTTCAAGTCCTCCTTCAGCATCTGGCGGCACCAGGTGGAGGTGCACAACCAGAACAGCATGGCCCCTGCTGAGAGCCTCTCTCCACCCACACTGGACCACAATGGTGAGCTGCCAGCTACCACCCGGCCCCAAGCCCAGCCTGAGCCCAGTAAGGTGAACCACATTGCTGCCCCACCCAAGGAGGACACTGCGCTCAGCGACTCTTCAGAGCAAGTAAACTTCGACTCAGAGGACTCCTCCTGTCTTCCTGAAGACCTTAGCATCTCCAAGCCACTAAAAATCCAGGTGAAGGAAGAACCCTCTGAGGAGGCCGAGGAGGAGACACCTGAGGCCAACACAGCCACCCGGGACTCAGGCCCCAGCAGGGAGGCTGGGCTGTGGCCCTGCGAGAAGTGTGGGAAGGTGTTCACGGCACACAGGCAGCTGGAGCGGCACCAGGAGCTCCTGTGCTCTGTGAAGCCCTTCATCTGCCATGTGTGCCACAAGGCCTTCCGCACCAACTTCCGCCTCTGGAGCCACTTCCAGTCCCACATGTCTCAGGCTGCAGAGGAGCCCGTGCAGAAGGAGGTGGATGTGGGCCCTGTGCCTACCAATTCCCCCTCACCACCACCCCTGCCACCACCACCTCCTCTGCCCAAGATCCAGCCTCTGGAGCCTGATAGCCCCACGGGCCTACCAGAAAACCCAGCCCCGGCCACTGAGAAGTTGTTCGCACCTCAGGAGTCAGACACCCTCTTCTACCATGCACCACCCTTGTCGGCAATCACTTTCAAGAGACAGTTCATGTGCAAGCTCTGCCACCGGACATTCAAGACTGCCTTCAGCCTTTGGAGCCACGAGCAGACGCACAACTGAGACCCACTGTGGACCACGTCCTTGGCGACTGAGTATTTTTCAAATAAAGGCTGGAAATTGTTATGCTTGAATTTAGGCTTGAGATAAACTGATAACAAATAGAAAAGTCCTCATGCAACTTGAAAAATAAACTGAAATACCACAGTTCTGCCCCTCTCAGTGACTAGGGGTTTGACTTCATTGCTGTTGAAATTGGGTGAATTTTGATGAATTGCATGGTTCTTCATTCCGAGGTGTCAGCATAATCGCTTAATTGAGGTTTTTGTTTTTCTTACTCATTTGTAACTAGCTTTGGGAATGCTAGCAAAGTATTCCTTCCTTTGCTTATCTCAGACACCTAATTCTAATTCCATTTTAGCCATGTTCTTAAGACCAAAAATATCAGAAAGAAGTGGAGTCATTGCAGTATTGTTTTAGATCTTAATATACCTTAGCAATAAAAAAAGATAAACCTCAACATTAATAAATTATCCTGACACTTGATAAAAACAAATATTTGGTATTTTGTGGTCATGTAGAACTTTTTTTTGTATGGAAATGGTAAGAAATTTAAATCAGCAATAGACATACTTAAAGTTTTATAAGATAACAGACCTCGGCCTTGGTCACTTAGTGTAAGAATGACGGTTGCGCTGTAAGAAGACAGGGATAAAAAGCAGTTTGCAGGGTCCTGCTTGCACTGTCCTGGGCAGTTGCTGCCACAGGCGTGTTCTGAACCCATGTGCGGGCTCTGTATCCACCATGCCCAATCCTGGTTCCCACCCCAGGGAAGGACAGTGTCTGGTGTCCTCTGATTCATGCTGTCACAAATTGAAAAGCTGAGTAGTTGGGACAGAAAAACCAAAGCTGATGTGTGGCACTCACTTGGAGTCTCATGCTATGACAGATGAGTGAGGGCATGTGCTTAGATAGGACAGCCACTCTGTACCCTGAATCCCTGCTCCCCTGAGCCTGCACAGTGGGTGGTTCCCTACAGTGCTATGCACTGTCCTGGAACAACCCACACAGTGCCTGTGAGTTCCTGCCCACCTTGCAGGTGTGGGCTCTGCAGCCCATCTCGTCAGCTGTGAACTACGGCTTGATGCCCAGAAATAAGCATGAAAGCACTTATGCAGGGTCCAAAGTTAGCTTTGCTACTTACTGTGGTCCAGATGGGTTGGGGGGGGGGGGATTTTTGTCTTTTGTATACGTTGTAATTAGAAGAGTTTTAGAAAGTGTTATCCAAAGCTCAGCGGTGTACTTCAAAAGGAAAAACTTAACTTCACTTGTGTGGGGAGGGTTACATAAAGAAATATTGAAACAACAAAATCATTTTAAGATAGGGACACCGATTATGACTCCGAGTTTATACATATTTTTTTACCAGCTGTTCTTTCAAATTGAAGTTAACTACTGATAGAGAAGTTTGTGCTCTAGCAGAAAAAAACCCTACTCATCATTCTTGTTACCAACATTCCATACCATTCATAAGAAAGATACTCTTTATCGAAACAGCATTTTTATAAACTACTAATTGACTTTGTTTATTATAGAAACTATATATGAAATTTTGCCTTTTATCCTTCCACTTGAAAAAACTATCAAAAAATTCCAAAATATTTTAGTACTTACTTTCTATTTTGTTCTTCAATTTGATGGAGAAAGGGAAAATAAAATTAGGTTGCAGTTACTGTTATCTATTTCTTGAAGAAATCTATGCATTTTGAAGACAAAACTGACCTTTCATGAAGGCAACATCATGATGGGGGTTGTATGTGAACTCACTCTGTGTCATTAGTGTCTCTTGCTCTGAACACCCTGGCTGTGTCACCTCTTCTAGAGGGCAGTCCCTGAGTCTCATCTGCACGACTGTCACAGGCTCTGGAAGCCCTGTCACACCTTCCGTCTTGGCATTGTACATTCACTATCCCAGGACTTGAACCTTTAGGCTACATTTTTGAAGGTTTTTTAAATAACTCTTAATCAGTAAAAAATATTTTTGATCAAAATATAGGCTCTGCATATCTGTTAGATTTTAAAAATTACCAATGTTTTTGTCCTGTTCACACTTTTGTCTAGGCAAGAAATATAAGATTTGAAATGAAATTTTGAACCAAAAACATTTATAAATGCAGTTCTGGTTTTTCTATTACTTTTTATACTGTACCTTAAAAACATTAGGCTGAAAGAGTTTATTTTGGTGGTCAAAAAAAAAAGCTTCCACTGGTGTAACTATTTTGAATGTTAAGTAGGATAATGAAAGACACATTAAATGCTTTTTGTAAAGAATGTTTATCTTGGCCAGTAGGCAGATACTTGGTGTAAAATAAATTGGTCTTTCATCTTTGCAACTCTTTAAATAGTAAAAATATTCTTGTAAATGTTTTCTTCTGATTGTGATTAATTTTTAAAAAGGTAGAAAATTCATTATTCCTTGTAAGTATTCAGGATGCCTGCTTTTTTATGCCATTGTGAAAGAATGTAAAATGTTTTAATATATTCTGTTACCCTGAGAATTTTTTTTTTGGTTTTTTTTTTTTTTTTTGGTGGATGGAGGGAGTAACAAAATGTGTTTTTATTATTCAGAGTAAGCAATGGAGGTAACAAATATTGTACATTTTAGTTGTAATATTTCAAGATTAATAATAGAACATTCATCTTTAAGACTAGTATAGATTTAGTTTTTCCAAAATGTACAATTCAATAACAACATTACTTACATTTGTGGGAAGATGTGCGTCCTTGGTTTTCTGTTTCTGAAGAGGTCTTGTTGTTGTTTTGCCTTTTTGAGACAGGGTTTCACTATGCAGTTCAGGCTGGTCTTGAACTCACTTCATATCCCAAGCAGGCCTCAAACTCATGGCAATCCTCTTGCCTCAGCCTCCTGAGTGCTGAGATTACAGGTATGCACCACCACATCCACCAGAAGAGATCATTGAAGGCTTTGTACAACTTGCCCAGCACTAAATTGGTTCTTGCCTAAGTATGTCACCCTCTTGGCATCACCGAGAGGAGGCTGTGGGATGGTGGAACGTGCCCGCCTTCGCTAGGCCATGTTGCTCATGGCAGACCACAGTTGGCCTTAGCTACTTAGATGGTTCCTAGAGTGCATGTGTGTACAGCTGTTAAGAAAGAACATACTGGCATTTTCTTTATACAGAAATAATTAGGTATCACTCCTAACAAATTTCTTTATAAACTTCATCCAGTTAACTATAATTGGAATATTACAAGTCATTTTGTTAATTTCTGATGTCACAATGTTTTTTGCAATAGTGAGATGCATTATTGATTTAACTAATTCTGATGCACATTTAATACGTGTTTTTTAACAGTGACTACTAAGGAGTTTGTTTTAAAAACAGGTTTTTCCCTTTTGTGGCTTTAGCACTTTAAAAAGTTTGATGTTTGCATAATTCCCAAGGGGGCTCCTCTCAGGAAGGGCTCTGGCTCACTAGGCAGCGTTTCCACAAGACGGGAGATAGCTCATGGGTATTGAGAGTCTGGAGGATAAAAACAGAAGAGTTCATATTAAGTGTTTCAAAATTCGCTTTAGAATCAGGCTTTGGGAAACCAAAGTATTTTACTGTAAGTCTTTGAAACAATTGAATCTAGTGTTCTTTTGTCATTTCTTAGTGCTGTCTGAATTTCTAGTTATTCTTGGTCAACAATGAGTGTCAAAAGGTGATAATTTGTTACTGACATTAATCCCAGTCTCACAGTTTTCATTGAATAGATGCTTACTGCTCAAAGAACAACATGTGAGTGGTTTTACAATTGTGTGTTTTGATTGTCAAGCCTCAGCAGAGGAAATCCTTCAGTTTTAGAAATAAGCTTTTTTGAACTGAACATTCATAGCAAAATAATGTTAATCCATTGCTTACTTGTACCCAGTTCTACTGTCTGTTTACTTTGCTGAAATCTTGACTGAGAATGATTGGAGTCAATAAATGTGCTGTATTTTGCTGAGTCCCGGTCTCCTTGATCTTTGAAGCACAGTGGTGGTGGTGGCAAGGAGTAGCACTCAACATGGGGAAGGCGGAGGGCACCTCGAGCATTTCCTGCTTGCCACAGAATTAACTAAAGCCTGAGAAGCTTTGCTTGACCATCTTTTACCTTTCTGTTCAGGTTCCTGGTTTTTTACCTGCCTTTTATTTTCTTTTCCTTCTTTCCTCCTTTTTTTTTTTTTTTTTTTTTTTTTTGGTCTTTTTGAGACAAGATCTCGCTATGCACCTCTGAACCCTGTTGCTGGACTGATGGACACTCTGCTGTGGGCTTGCCTTCATCCATGTCCTGAGTCAGCCCTTCTGGGGAGCACCTGCACCCCACCCTAGGCACAAGTGATGCAGTCATTGGAAATGTCCTACCTGCCATTCTGTTAGTCATCAAATGGTCTTCTTTAAAAAACCAAACAATTTCCTCCTGGCAGGATTACAAGTTTTGGAGCTTTGAGTTCCTTTGGTCCTGTATCCTCAGCCTTCAGTACATGCTCAGGACAGTTGCTGGTGGCAAATCAATGTCCCTAATGTCCAGGCCAAAGGCATGAATTCAGATATTGTGTAAATGGCTGTCAGCCAGTCCTCCACAATGGGGCACCATGTCACATTACCCACCTTGAGGGGCTGGGGAGATGGCTCAATAGAACAGACACTTCCCTGGCAAGTGCAAGGGTCAGAGTTCAATCCCCAGTTCTGAAAAAAAAAAAAAAAAAAAAAAAAATCACCCACCTTGAGTTGACAGAAATGTACCCTGACTACTTACTGTCCCAACATCCTGTCCTCCAGGAAATGCTTCCTGGCTGCTGGCCACCTACTCCTCCCAGGCTGGCTTGGCTTCAGGAAGCCCCCACAGTGTCCTTGGTGTTTCCACATGCTGTAGAATAGCCTTTGAGAAGAAGTTTTGGTGGCAAGTCTCTTGCCCTTGTAAGTCCCATATACTCGTGCACTGCCATCGAAGTTTTGAGTGTGGGGCACACTATGTGTGTGTTGCTGGGCTGCTAAGATGCCCGTGAGGTCACCTGAGTTTGCAGAGCTCCCCACTTAACTCCTAGGTTACCTCAAACAGAGGAGCAGGCATGTAGCACTCCGGACATGTAAGGCCTATGTACCTGGTAATATTTGCATGCTGTCTGCAGCCTAGTCTCCCTCTTGCATTATGTTTTCACTCTGCATCCTCATTCTTTCTTGGGGAGCCCAGTACCTTGTCCCTTTCAATCTGAAATTTCAGCATGACTTGTAGTCGCATTACTTGGACCAGGATCTTAGGTCCCTTAACTGGAGTTGGGTGTTTTCTCAACACCAGGTACAGCCTTGTGTTTGTGGGCACAAGACACAGAAGTTGTGATCTCTTCATGTCACCCCAAACGGCAGCCTGGAGGTCCACCTGTCCTCTGCTGACAGCATTAGTTTTAATCATTTTATCTGCAGCATTTCCTGCCAGTTTCTCCATTGCTGTGTGTGGTACTGGGAATCAAACTCCCCTAAAACAAAACAAAACAAAACAAAACAAAACAAAACAAAACTCCCCTGAGCTGGTTTCCAGCCCTTTTCATTTTATTTCGAAACAAGCCTTGCTGAGTTGCTCAGGCTGGCCTCAAATTCACAACCCTATTGTCTCAGCCTCCTTCCTGAGTAGCTAGGATGCCAGGCATGTGTGACTGCACCTAGCCTCACCCACTGTCAATTTTACCAGATGCCAATTGATGGTTTTTGCCTGGGTTATTTTGTAGTCATGACCAAGTACAGACATCTTCATCCCATCATTCCTTTATCTATTTGTGGGGCTTTACACTGCACAAAAAAATGTCCACCAGCTCATAGTGTTTCATGCCTATAATACCAGCACTTGGGACTGAGACAGGAGGACTGCAGGTTCAAGCCCTACCTGAGCAACTTAGCAACCTTAAAAAAAAAAAAAAAAAATGACTGGCATGTAGTTAGGTGGGAGAGTGTCCCTGGGTTCAATCCCCAGTATTGCAACCCCCCCAAAAAAATTCTTAGTTTATACCTGCAGTTTATACCTAGATGTCCTCAAAGCTCATATGCTTATGTGTGGGGCTTTCTGGGACTGACTGGATTATAGGGGTGTGATATCCATTAGTAGATTTGTCCACTAATGGGATTATTGCTGAATGGGATATTAAGTAAAGTCTGGTCAGAGGAGGTGATCAGTGGAGACATGGCCTGGAAAGGTTCACCTCCCTACTCTTTGATCTTTCTCTGCTTCCTGCTACTGTGCTGTGAGTAGCTGTCTCTGCCATGCCCCTCTGCCATGCAATCCTGCCTTGACTGGAACCTCTACACACTGTCAGCCAAAATAAAGTTGTGGTATTGGATGTCTTGTCTCAGTGACGAGGAAGCGCCTAGATGCTCGCCTCTTTTGCTGGCTTACAAGCTGTCCCTGGGTTGTGGTTGCTGCAGGGCTTGCAGCTGGAGTTTCCAACTCATCACAGCCTACTCTTCTATCACCTCCTACTGCTGTCCAGCCTTGACACTTCGGTTGGCCATCATTCACCTCTGTGAGTGGCAGACCCAGAATGCATTGATGCCATCTTTCTTCAATCAGAGGTTGAGTCAGTAAGAAGCACAGCCTTTGGATTTCCTGTGTGCATTTCCTCCTCAGTGCTCCACACTTACCTGCAGGGCCACATTGGCACCGGCGTCATTTCCTTCTGCCTGGAGGACATCAGCGTTCCTAGCAGTGGACGTCTGCTATGCTGAATTCTCTCCACTGTGTATGCCTAAAGTTACCTCCCAACTTGGTATGATATTTTTTGGGTTCCCCCCCCCACCTCATTCATAACATTTAAAAAAAAAAAAAAAGAATGAGCATAGTCAGGTTGTCTTAGTCCTAAGGAGTCCTGGATTTCATCCTTGAAGGAGATCAGGGTCTTCCCAAGGCCTTGGTCATCAAATATTCTTCCCATCTTCATGTTCTAAAGATATTTTAGTCATTGTCAGCTTTTTTTCCCAACTCAGGATCAGTTTTATTCCTCGCTACCATATTGAATTTGTGAGAACTTGAGGACCAAGAGCTACCAGCCATCAGCAGCAGCATGGGGACTCTGTCTATAGCTGTCTCAGTTACTGTTCTCTCGTTGCTGGGACAAATACCTGACACCCAAAATTAAGGAGGAAAAGGTTTATTAGCTCAGTTTGTGGAGGTTTCACAAAGCCATACTCGGCTGGCTCCAAGGCAGAGTGGCACACAACAGAGTGGTTCATGGCAGCAGCAAAGAGCAGAGAGGAAGAGCAAATGGGAGTAATGGCAACAATGGCTTCAGGGAGCAAGTCTGTCTCCCTTAAGTTGCGTTCAGGCTATCTGCCCCAGGCCAGGTATAGCACTCACACCCATAATTCCAGAAGCATTCACACCCATAATCCCAGCAGCACTCACACCCACAATCCCAGAAGCACTCACACCCATAATCCCAGAAGCATTCACACCCATAATCCCAGAAGCACTTACACCCATAATCCCAGAAGCACTTACACCAATAATCCAGTGGATCATGAGTTAATCACCAAGTGTAGAAGTCCACCCTATGACTGCATGAGGCTTTGGGGGGACAACTAGACACAAACCATAACAGTAGCCAAGGACCTTGCTCTTGTACCAAGCTTGCATTACCACGGCATGAACGTGACAGAGACTTCGGCCCACTTAGGAACCTGAAATCCAGCAGCTTTTCATCGGGAAGATGCTTTGGGATGACAAGTGTCCTACAGCTGCAACAGAAACTATCCCAAGTGAAACAGGCAGAAGAGTGATGAGTCACAGAGCAACAGTGGCCTCGGGGTCAATCTCAGATGGCCTGATATCTGTAACTGGAGT